TGAAGGGCCTTAAATACCAGAATAATCGAGGGGTGAGGTCCCCCCTGGATCCCACTATGTGGGCAGCTCCCAGCCACTCCCAGCCGGAGATCTCTGCCCTTGGGGACCCCGTCCCCAGGCTCCAGGCCCCTCCCCCATGGTGGCCCTGCCCCAGCTATTCTGGCCACATCTGCTGTGGGTCCCCAGAGCCCTATACCCCAACCCTCCTGTGGCCCTCCAAGGCTCCCCCTGACCCAGCCCACAAGCCAGAGGTCTCCGCTGTGGCCAGGAGAACCTGCCCCCACAAGACCCCTCGGTGTCCCCACCAGTCATCCAGGTGGACCTAGGCCCTGCCCAGACCCCTCCCCCCAATGCCTGGCCTGGGGATCCTGGAGCCACCTCCCCCTCCCCCACCTGGGCGCACCCAGGGCCCCTGCCCAGAACCCACTGACCACCACGTGGCTGGCAGGAGGCCCGCCTGCTCACCGAGGTCCATGTCCCCAGCCTTGGGCCGCTGGGAGTAGGGCACCCCCTTGTACACGGCGTCTAGCAGCTTCTCCTTGACCTGCGTCACCGTGTCACAGTTGAGCCCCTTCACGGGCACCTCGGGCGCGTTCTCGTTCTCGGGGTTCACGCAGTTCAGGGTCTGCAGGGGAGGGCGGCCCGGGGGGGACATCAGCCTGTGTCAGCCCGGCTCCCCTGGGCGGAGCCAGGACGGGCTCTGGGGCGCGCGTGGAGCGGCGACAGGGACAGGCGGGGTGGCCCTCACCAGGGTCTTGTAGTCGATCTGCTGGCGGATGAGCTTGTCCTCGCTCAGGGAGTAGCGCGCCTCGCCCGTGATGGCGTCGATGGGGCCCTTCTCCATCTGCTGCTTGATGGCGCAGTACAGCATGAACAGGGGCTCCCCCGCGCACTCCTGCAGGTGGGGTCGGGGGGCGTCGTGAGGCCGCCATCCCGGGCTCCCCCAAAACCCCTGGCCCTCCCAACGCCATCCCTGTTGCTCCCAGGCCAACAGAAACAAGCGTCCCCTGCTCAGGCTGGGACGAGCGTGTCCCCGTTGCCAAAGCCCCGGGAAGACCGCGGCACAATCCATGCGAGACGCAGACCCGGCACCTCATGAATATGCATGAGCGCGCCCTAAATAATTCATACATCGGGAGCCCAGGAGATGCCCGGATGTGTCCAGCCACGCAGGGCCCGGGGCGGGGGGGGTGTCGGGGGCAGGTCCACAGCACCCTGTGAACCCCGGGGGACCAGAGCCACCCGCAGCCCACAGCCCCCCAGGAGGCCCCCTCACCCCGTGGCCCATTGCAGGGGTGGATGCTGCACCCCACACTCTGGGGGGGGATCCCCCTGGCTGGGATCTCTAGCTGCTCAGAAAAACGATCCCCAGGCATCTAAGGGTGGCCCGAGGGTAGCAGGGGTCCACAGCCCGGGCCAGAGTGGCAGAGCGCATCTGCCGCCCCCACTCCGGACCCCAGCGCAGATGCTGTCCCTACCCCTGCACCCAGGTCCTCACAGCCCTTCTGCGCGGAACCTGTCCTGTTGCCCCTGGAGAGGAAGCAGCCCAGGACCGGGCACCCTGGTGGGTTTGGGCGGAGGCCCCCCACTCGTGATCTGAATGAATGAGACCATGCACCTGCGCCTCCACCTTGCAGGGCCTGGGCTGGCTGTGTCCCCTCCCTGCACAAGCGGGTCCCCACGGGGCCTGGGCTCAGGGTCCTCGGCAGGTCTGGGCCACCCGGTGGCGTGCAGATGATGCTGTGCCCCAGGTGGGCAGCTCAGGCCGTGCCACCTCCCCCCCTGGGGGCCCTGGCAAACAGACAGTGGCTCTGTCCCCGTAACCAGATGCTCCGGGCACCTCGTTAGCATCTGCAGTAATTAAAGAGACAGCTGCTAAGGAGCGGCCACAAACGTAGATCATCCGGAGACCTTCCAGCAACACGCCTGTCTTTGAAATTATGTTTCATTTGCAAACTTGGCTTCATTAAGTCGGCTGCAAGGAGGAGGGATGCGGAGATCGGCCACCCTGCTGTCAGGAACCGCCTCTCTGCCTGGGGACACCATCTGATGGGAGGGAGGGAGGCCCAAGCCTTCTGGGGTTTCCCTAGATGCCTGCCAGAGGGTTCTGCCAGACCTTGGCCTTGCAGAGGGTACAAATGGCATTGCTACAGCCTCGGAGGCTCAGAGATGGGAGGCCACAGGGCCCACAGTCACTCAGTGAACATCTCAAGGCGCCAGGATTCGAACCCAGAGCCATCTCACATCAATGCACCTGCCCCTTCAATTCCAGGGGTTCTCAGGAAAGGCTCCGGTGGAGCCGGTGGTTCACCCCTGATCAGGTGCCGCCCTCCACGCCAGCCCCAACCGCTTCCATGACACGGGCACAGAGGGTGTGAGGAGATGGGAGGCTGCAGAGGAGGGAGGCTCAGAACCTAAGAACTCCAGAGACCACGACCTTTCCCTCCTGGACAGAGGTTCATATGTGGTGTGGAGGGCTCAGACCCTCCGGAATGCACAGAAACTACCAGATGAAAAGTGCCACTTTTCGAAGAAAAAGAAACCCCAGTAGAGAGAGTTCAATACAGGATGGTAAGTCAAGAGACTGAAATCCAGCTAATCCCTACCTCACTCCATAGACAAGTAAAAATCGTTTCTTGGCAATCGTAGGGGTTGTAAAAGATGGAAAGTGGGTATTATTTAAACCCTCCTACAATACGCTAAGACAAGGAACTCTAGAAACACACAAAGGATAAAAACAGGTGTTTGCAATCCTGACTTCAAAGAAAACACAGAGGTGCCCAGTCAGGCACGTGAAAAGATGCCCGAGTTACTAGACATGGTGGTGAGTGTCTGTAAACCCAGAGACTCGGGAGGCTGAGGCAGGAGGATTGCAAGTTGGAGGCCAGCCTCAGCAACTGAGAGAGACTCTGAACAATTTAGGGAGACCCTGCCTCAAAATAAAATAAAATTTTGAAAAATGAATTTCCCTCCTTTTTTAAGGCAGGATAATATTCCACTGTATACCATTGTATAAAACTGTCTTCCTTTATCTGCTGGGGGTATGTCCCCAGGTCCCCAGGAGGTGTCTGAGACCTTGAGCAGAACCAAACCCTACACACACTGTGTTTTCTCAACACAATCCAAGTCCCTTCTTGCGTAAGTGTAGCCATTCATTACTTGCAGAAAATGTGTCTAAACCGTCACGTAGGTTCGGAGCTTTCTGTCGCGACTCACCGCCATCAACGGGGACACATTTTCTGTTCATGTCATCCACACACAGATGTGACACCTCTTCATCTTAACTAAGCCCTTATCATGCAACTTTTGCTGTTTGAGGTGAGACAGCAAAACTAGAGCGCGTTTCTTTTTTCTTCGCGATTTCACGGATAGAAAATTCATTGCCACCATAGGTCTTTGCAGCCTCAGCATACAAATTCTTTCTTTCCACGTTGAGAATCTGTGCTTCAAGGAAGCACTTCACAGTTTCTCTTTGGGAGAGTAAGTAAAATAAGGTCGCGTGAACACAAGCACTGCTAGACAGTTGACGTGATAACCAAGATGGCTACTCAGTAACTAACGGGAGAGTAGCATATACAGGGTGGATACACCGGACAAAGGCAGAATCAAGTTCCAGGAAGGACATGTGAGATTCCATCCTGCTTCTCAGATGGCAGGCAATTTAAAACTTACTAATTGCTTATTTCTACAGTTTTCCATAGATTCTCTTCAGGCTGCACTCGACCACAGGTAACAGAAACTGAGAAAAGTAAAAGGGTAGATAAGGAGACTACGGTATCGGCCACATTTTGCTTACGTCTTCATCTTCTGCTGGACGCGCGGACTCCCTGCCCATTATGCTAAGTTGAACTAGGTCATGGTTCCACTTATATACGGAGCCCAGAGCAGTCAAAGGCACACAGGCAAGAAAGCCCAGTGGTAACTGCCGGGGCTGAGGGGCAGGGGAGGAGGGAGAAGGTAGTATCGAATGGGGACAAAGTTTCAATCTTACAAAAGGGAGCGTTCTGTGGATGAGTGTCATTTAATACCCGCCGACTCTACACTTAAAAACAGTTAAGATGGTGAATACAGGCCAAGGGCAGTGGCCACACCTGTCATCCCAGTGGCTCAGGAGGCTGAGGCAGGAGGATCGCAAGGTGGAGGCCAGCCTCAGCAACTGTCTTAAAATTTAAAAAAAAAAAAAAAAAAAAAAAAGACTGAAGGGCTGGGGATGTGGCTCAGTGCTTAAGGGCCCTGGGCTCAATCCGGGTACCAAAGGAAGAAGAGACAGGACAGAAGGGACCAGAGGAGATGCGCGCTCCTTGCTCTGCCTTGCTTCCCTGGGGCCCCAGTGGGCCTGAGGGTGGACCTGGGTCCCTCCAGGCCCCTGTGCTCCCACCCTGCCTTTCTCCTCCTGCTGCCTTGCCCAACTGTGGCCTCGCCCCCAGCCCACAAGTCCCTGGGCACCAGGATGGCAGGCTGTCCCTTGGAGCCTGCTGCCTGACATGGCCAGCCCTCTGTGTGTGTGGTCCCACGGGGCCACGCTCTGCCAGGTTTCCACCGACTTAGGACCCGGGAGCAGATCTGCTGCCCTGCATCCTGTCCCTCTGGTGATGGAGACTCGGGAGGCCGAGGCAGGAGGATCGCAAGGTGGAGGCCAGCCTCAGCCACTTAGCAAGGCCCTGAGCCACTCAGCGAGACCCTGTCTCTCAATAAAATATAAAAAGGTCTGGGGACGGGGCTCAGGGGTTCAGCACCCCTGGGTTCAGTCCCTGGGACCAGGAAAAAAAAGGCAGGGTGCCCGAGAGCCGACCCTCTGCCCAGGGCTCTCTTGCTTCACCTCCTGGGCCACGTGACCTCTGCTCAGTGTCACCCTCCTTGGTCACTCCCTGCGCTGTGCCCCCTCACCTCGCCCCCCTCCTCTACTGTCTCTCCTCCCTCAGGAGAGGGACGCCCTTCTGGGGACACGGCTCTGTGCACAGACGTGCCAGTGGATTGTCCCTGGGCCAGGCTGGACAGGGGACAGCAGAGGGAGGACCGGAAGTCCTGAGGGGCGGCAGAGGCCTGGACTCAGCATGGAGCACTGGCCCTCGCCCTTGACCGCCAGGCCGCACCAGTGGTCACCCTGTCCAGGGGAAGCCAGGCGGGCGCAGCCTCCATGTGGGCAGAGACCCCTCCTGCTGCCCACTGTCCAGCATCTCCCTCCGGCTCTCTGATCCCTGTGTCACGGACGCTCTCTGGGACGCGCCCCACCGGCCCCCACTTGCCTTGAGGAACTTGTACAAGAGGAAGGTGAACCAGTTGGTCAGCATCTTCTCCGCCACCGACTCGGTCCTGAGGTTGCAGAGCAGAACACAGCCATGAGGCAGGTCCCTGCAGGCCCCACCTACCACGCCCACCCCCCGTTTCAACAGAATTGAAGGTGCCCACAAGTTGGGCACGGTGGTGCACTCTTGTAGTGCCAGTGGCTCGGGAGGCTGAGGCAGGAGGATGGCAAGTTGGAGGCCAGCCTCAGCCACTCGGCGAGATCCTGTCTCGCATTAAAATATAAAAAGGGGCTGGGGTGTGGCTCTGTGGGTAAGAGGCACTGGGGTCAATCCCTGGTACCCCCTAAAATGGGGCCTGGACACGTCGGGTGTCTGTGGGAGGCTGGGTGTCTGTGGGAGGCCGGTGGAGGCCGGGTGTCCGCGGAGGCTGGCGGAGGCTCACCGGCGCAGCAGCAGCTTGGGGTGGTTCTTGCTCTCCAGGTTCTTCTCGATGAGGTCAGACAGCAGCTGCTTGAGCACGCCTGTAGCGTACTCCATCTCGCCCTGCAGGGCCGTCATGATGAGCGAGGCCACGTTCCCGCGGTCGCGCATGGAGAAGCTGCGCTGGGCCTCCAGGGTGCGGATGAAGGTCAGCAGGAAGTGCTTCTTGGTCAGCAGCTGCCCGAACAGCGTCAGAGACTTCTCCACGTTGGCCTGCACCTGTGGGAACACGGCAGGCTGCTGGGCCTCGGCAGGGAGGCCGACGGTGGGAGGCATGCCCCTTGAGTCCCAGGCCTGCTGCCCTCCTTGGCAGAGTGGACATGCCCTAGAAATGCTTTCAGGATAGGCCTAGACCACTGCCCATGAGACGCCTACTGCAGGCAGACATAACATGGGTGTCACCATGGTGGTGGAACTTAGGATGAGAGGGCTGGTTCCTGGCAACCTCTCTGTGGCTGAGCCCTCGGACCTGCCCTGGCTGGTGTCAACAGAGGAAGCCAGCTCCCCGAGGGCCCTGTGCTGGCCGGCCACGGGTCCCCAGCTGGGCGCTCACACCTGCCAGGCCTGCATGCCCGGGGCCAGCCAGCAGGCCTACCTCCATCTCCTTGAGCACAGGGTGGTCCTCGATGCCCGGGAAGAGCACCCGCATGGCGTAGGTGCGGTAGTCGAGGAACGGGATGCCCGCGCCGTCCAGGTCGTTGGTCAGCTCGTGGATGTCCGTCTGCAGCTCTGCGAAGGCTGTGGCCAGGCGCGGAGTCAGGGGCCACTCACCCAAGCCCCTGATGCCCTCCCACGCCTCAGTGTCCCCTGCCCCAATGCAGGCAGGACTCTGTCCCTCACCGGGCCAGGCCGGCTGGGGCCATCATGCCCCAAAGGCTCTCACTTCAGGGTGGGTGGGAGGTGGCTGCTGGCGGGCAGGCTGTCCCTGGGCTCCCAACCCCCCAGGCTGGGAACTGCCACCTGCCAACCTGGGCCTTCAGTGGCTGCCCCACCCCCCGCCAGTCCTCTCTCTTTCAAGAACAAAGGCCGGCTGGGCGGTGGGGCGGCTCCGCAGAACATTCCAGAGCTGTGAGGTGTCAGCCCTGCAGCCGCCCCAGGGACTCGCTATCTGATCAGGAGCCAGAGGAGCGGGCGGCTCTGGGAGACGTCTGGCCCGTTTAATTAAGAGTTGGGCCTTCATCTCCCGGACACCGGTGCCAGGCGTCTGCGCATCTCCAGCTGCTCTGAAGCAGCTGCTGGCCACCCCTTCACACCGCTCTCTGGCAGGGGCACCGCGCGCACGGGCTCAGCTGACAGCCGGCCTCCACCAGGGAGAGCCTCAAGGGAGGCCGGGCCTCCCCTGCACACATCTGCCTCCCGCCCGCTAGGACTTCCCACAGGGCAAACCTGGCCACCTGCAGGCCCCTCGGTTCTGTAAGGGACTTAGTTTAGAGGAGCCAAGCCCCAGGCCACGGGTGCCATGGGAGTTCCTAATAACCCAGGACAGAGCCACAGAGCTCAGGGTCCCAGCCTGGGAGGGGCCCGCATGGAGACCCCGCCCACATCGGCCATCTGCACCCACAGCACCTGGGGCAGGGCTGGCTCTGCCAGGGATGAGTATACGACAGTTGTGTGATGTGCTGGGCAGAGGTGGTGGCCTCTGGTGACCCCGTGGATCACACAAGGAGCCCTCTAGCCCACAGTCAGCACAGCTGTGACCCCTGCCCACCCGGAAGCCACCTCCTCTGGCCACGCCCCCACCCATCCTTGGGCTCCGCCCACTCAGGGTCAGGGGCTTCAGGGGGCCCAGGCCTGTCGCACCCGAGGGCTGGACAGACACACGTCCCCTGTCAACAGGACAAAGCTGCCTGACTCAAGGATGAAAGGCAGCCCACTGAGACCTGTGTGCACCCAGGGGTGACAACGGCCACCAAGGAGAAGCAAAGGCTGCCACACGGCCCACTGGCCATCCTGCCACCAAGCGTGACACCCCAGGGGGGTGCCCAATCTGCAGATGAGGAGGCTGAGGCACAAAAAGGCCGGGTGTCCTGGCCCCTGAATCAAGGCCGCACCGGGTTACAAATGGGGTGGCACCCCGCGGCCCCGGGTAGGCTGCTGACCCCTCCCTGGTGTCAAAGGTCCCCACAGCAAGGACACAGGAACCAGGTCAAGGGAACCAGTGCTGGTGGTCGGGACTGGCGGCTGCCCCCCTCTCCAGGACCG